CATCTTAATAAGAGATTGCTTTGACCAAGACAATGGGTTTAAAAGCTCTCAAAGCCTACCTGAATTTTTAGAAGACAGCTGCATCCCTACATGCTATTCCCACCCAATCCCCCGCTATTGAGAGGCGTAAAGGAAAGAGATTTTAAACAAAGTGGGGGTCCTTTTTGGTGTTCTCTGAAGCAAATGTTTTTAAGACAAATAAATACAGATATTACGTTATATTAAAATGGGAGGCAGGGGGCGCCTGGGTGGCTCAGTTGTTGAGTGTCCAACTTCCGCTCAGGTCATGAGCTCACAGTCCGTGAGTTCAAGTCCTGCCCATCAGGCTCTGTGCTGACAGCTCACAGCCTGGAGCCTGCTTCAGATTCTGGGTCTCCCTCTCTCTCTGCCCCTCCCCTGCTCATGCTCTGTCTCTATCAAAACATGACTAAACAGTAAAAAAAAATTTTTTAATAAATAAATAAAACGGAGGCAGGAAGGGTCTAGACAGAAGGTCTCCCGCTCACCCGCCATCCCCGTCTCCCCTCTTGCTCTGAGCCCTGTGCTCCTCTGCAAACCCCTCGGTTAGGCACAGCTGTGCACTGTTCAGCTGTCCTACAAGGTCTTTAAGACCAGAGAACATTTGCACTGGGTTGCAGCGACTGATGGCCACAGCTCTGCACCCAACTTTCTCTTTTCTTGGATTTGAAGGTAAAAAGGGGTTGCTCCGGACAAGGTCGGGTGGCAAAACGCGCTTCTCCCTGTAGGTGGCGCCCTCCCCCACCACAGGTGCCTCTGGCGCTGGCTTGTGACCTGGAGCCCTCTGGCTGTGCCCCAGGCACCTGTCCAGCAAGGCCGGTTCCCAGGGACCTGTCCACCTTCTCTGAGGTCACTGCTCTCACCTACTTTGGCTCCTGGCACCTTCTCAACAGCCCTTCTCTGAGCCACACCCTCTGAAAAGGAAACTGGAAAATGAACAGAGTTATCCATTTCCCTCATTGCTGGTGGGGGCGGGGAGGAACTGGACAATTCTCTCGTCTGAATTTTTTCCATATGTGTATTTTATTCCTTCCATGATTTTGGAAATAAATTGAATTTACAAACAAAGGGGAAACCAGACTCGTGGTTAATTAAAAACGGTGAATACATGTCCACTCTTTCAGGTAAACAGGATTGAGAGCATTTGAAGCTAGCTATATCTGAATTTACGTGCACCTATTTCAATGTTTGGCTAATTTCTTTTTATGTTTATTTATTTTTGAGACAGACAAACAGCATGGGGGGAGGGCAGAGAGAGAGAGAAAGAGAGAGAATCCAAAGCAGGCTCCAGGCTCTGAGCTGTCAGCACAGAGCCCGACGCGGGGCTTGAACCCAAAACCGTGAGATCATGACCTGAGCTGAAGCCAGACACTTCACCGACTGAGCCACCCAGGCGCCCCAACGTTTGGCTAATTTTATCAGCAAGGTAACCGTTAGGTAAATTCACTGCAATCCACACAGCTGGGAAACAATCCTTTTTCTACGAGGCGTAAGGAGTTCTGGGCTCCAACCAGGAGACACGGATGCTGGTCTTTTCCTCTGCTTCTCCGAGCAGGCTCTCTGAACCCCAACTCACCTGCCTAGGGGCGCCGGTTCCCCTGCCTGCCTTCCAGAACTTCAGGAAGCCAGTGAGTGTGTTTCACAAGGACAGAGGAAGTATTAATTACGCGGCAATCACCGCTCTGAAATGCTTTCTCGCCTCACCAGCACCTGGAGGCGTTTTCTCAGATGCTAACGTGAGCGCCTTACAGATCTCAACAGGTATCTGCTAACCTTGAATCTGATGAACTTCTTTTTCCAGGAATGAAGTCCAGACAGGTAGATCTGCTTCAGGGCTTCGTGGCTCAGCCGCAGGTCGATCCCATCTGGGGTGACCGTGAACTGGAAGGCCACGGCTTGGTGGGCTTCCGCCATCTTCAGTAACGCCCTAGGAGGAGGAGGAGAGAGCGTAACGCACCAGCCTTTCACCGGATGTTAGAAAACCCCTTCCACAGCCCTGGGATTCGTTCTGAATTTGCAGGTTTCCTAGCCATTTGACAAACTTAACGGTCCCTTAAGAGATCCGATCCTGGGATTCCATGCTGACCCCTCCCCTGCCTGTTGGGCACTACACAGCCCACTGCACCCTCTGCTCGGAGGCCTGGGGCGGGGATCAGCAGAGTCCAGGAGGGGAGCCCCCTCCCACCCAGAAACCCCCATCCCCTGGCCCCCGCCCCCGGGCCATCCCACGGCACCAACCCTCCAGGCCAGCGGCCCAGGCCACACCCAGCTGACTCAGGAAGCTGGTGGCTGTTCGGCAACCTGCAAATGCCGCCTGGAGGCTGGCACAGAAGAAACCCAGAGGGTCCACAGGAGTCCGTGATGGCCCTGAACCCCTCATCTTCAGGCCAGGGCACCGGGACTCGGGTGTGCCTGTGGCTGCTGACTTGAGAGACCATCCCGGTCGCCACAAAGACGCCACGAAATCCAGGCGCACGGAGTCCTCGGGAGTGGGTGCTTATGTGTGTCGGAGCCAGGCCCCCCTCCTCCTCCTCCTCCTCCTCCTCCTCCTCCTCCTCCT